AAAGAGTGTGCCAAGACAGGGGAAGAAGCTGGTTAACAGTGCTTAACACTGTCACTGTACACTCTTGAGTGATTTTCTCTATAATGTTACTGATCTGGAAATATCTCCTCGTGTCCTTTGGACACGAAAAATTTTTCCATAATGAAACCATGTCAGTACTTGTTCTGTGTCAAGCTGTTAAGAGCTGGCAGACCTGCTGCATGATAGAACAGAAGCTACAAGTCAGTATTCACTGCTGTGAAGTTGTACTGTTAAGTTGCCTTCACAGATTCAGGCATTTTAAACTGTGCTTTAACTCTGTACCCTTTGCAAAGAGCTGAGCATTGGATAGAAACCAGTCAGAGAAGAGGAAGTTGGCTCCTGACCTCAGAAAAATGAAGGGATGGTGCACTGAGCACGTGCAACTCATCTGGGATCCAGAGGCCGTGTTTGTCTCACTGCCTGGTCATAAATGAAAGAGGTTTGTTTGTGCCAGGCAGGTGCTACTCAGGCTGGCAAACAGCCTCCATCTGCCTAAGGCTTTATAAAGGTGATGGGCTTTGTTTCTGAGGGAGCATACAAGTTGATTTAGGAAGCACATCTTGCCACTCCTGGGCACTGCATCTTCCTTCCAGGATACATGTCTGCAATTTAGCAGCTGGTAGGGAGCAAGAGGATTGCATCAAATATAGATACATTAGCTATACAAAGCACCTCATGATTTTAAAGCATTCCCATGTGCAGTACTGCTGGAATTGTTGTGCTGCACTTCTGATACACCACAGTCTCTTTGGACAAAAGTATTAAAAAATGTGTTTGGTCAAGACTGCCCAGTCTGTCCTGTAATGAAGAGAGAGCTACGTAAAAAGATAATGTAAATAGGTATCTTTCCTCTCTTTTCTTGCTTTTTTTTTTTTAGTATGCTTGTTTTGGGAAAGATCTTTCTAGTCCAGTTGTACTTGCAGCAGCTACATCTACTAATGCTGGGTTTTCTGAGGGTTTTTGATGGGATTTTTTCATTAAGCTAATTAGCTTATATATTATGTCAGTTCTACAAAACAAATTTGAGAGGTACTAAACTTCATGCTTAAAATAACAATTTAAATGCATTTTAAAATTTTAAAGTTTTGTGCAGAATTTAATTTACAGACTTGCTCTGTAACTATGTGACAGTTACCAGCAGGACATACAGGAATGAAGATTTTTTGTTAAAACTTCCTATCCTCAAATATAAGTCAGGGCCTAAAACCAGAAAAAATAGTTCTCTCCATGTGAGCTTTCAGGACAGTGTATTAAACAATCTGAATAGATTATTTTTTAATGTCTTTTTCTTGTGTCAGGAATTGCATTCTCTGTGGAATCAACTCTGAAGAGTTCTCTTTACTGGCCTCAGTGAACAGGTTGCAGGAATAGTTAAACATTCCACAAGGATTGCAGTTTTAACTTGGTACCATATGGTTCAATATTCTATCCTGAAGTCAGTTGCAGATGGTTAGGAAGTTAAAGTATTGCAAATGAAATGAGTGATTGTTGTGAAATATGCAGCCAGTCTGTGGTGGATTGTTTAACATCAATGGAAAAAGTAGCAAATCAGAACAACAAATAGGACAGTTCAGGCTTTTTCATCGACATACCAGCTGTTAGAACACAAATATCTATTTTTACAGTCTTATTTAATAAATATAGTGCTTTTGATTGCAAAAGTATCTCTCACATGAAGATTACTTGTTGAAGCAGAAGATTGTTAGATTAGGCAGGAGATAATGGTTCACTTATTTGGATTTCTGACATATCACTGTGGGGAAATGTTGAGCCCTGGACAGCTTAAAAAATGTTTTCCCAACAGAAATGCAAGAAAGAAAAGAAAGCCATTGGTGAGATGTTTGTCCCTTAACTTCTACAGCCTTGCTGACTATGTCAGGTCTAGCTCAAATATTTATGTTGTTAAAGTCAAGGCTGGATCCCAAATCTGTCCCAGCTGGTGATAGTACCTCCTGGAGACAGCACACAACTGAGTCCATACTTGAAAATCAGCAAAGTAGATGGAGTAGCAGTGAAAGGATCTCCAAGCTGGTGTAAACTTGGACTCTTCTGGGAAAAGACCACTAAACTAGCAGCAAGCTTTCCCTGGCCCTTCCTGACAGCTTTCTATGGTAGGTAAACACAAAAGCAATGTTAAACCAAGAATTGTTTTCAGCCACCAGAGGGGAGTCAGCAGCTAGGAGAAGTACGTGAGAGGGCTAATTAAAGTAAGGAGAGCCTATTGAAATTTTTTGTCCTGGGACTGTTTTGTGGAGTTATGTTCTAACATCTCTGTCCTGTGTCTCTTTCCTCTCTCAGGTGTATGTAGCTGAACCTAGTGGGATGGAGTTCACACCATGTCACGTTGAAGCACGTGTTGGCCAAATATTGGAGCTTCCCCTGAGGATTCATGGCCTCACAAATGTTGAGACGGGCGAGATGGCCCCACTGAGCGACTGCTCACACTTTGATCTTGTTGTGGAAGTAGAAAACCATAGTGTGTTTGTACCACTTCAAGGTGATTTGACCCCCCTCTTGTTTTGAAAGTGAAATTAAGGTGTTACTAAGTCAGACATCTCTTTTAAATCAGTGTTTCAATTGCTGTATAAAGTATTCCTCAGAGGTGCTTAACCTCAGAAGTGGCAGAGTAGTTTCATTTTGAGGATGTATCTACTTTTAATTAAGATTTTCCCTTTGATATTTTGTTGTTTTGAGGGACTTTGAAAGCATTTTGGCAATTACTTTATTGAATATAATGTGCAGTTTCCTGTATGACTTTCTACTGATTTAGTATTTTTAACATGCTTCTGTAACAAAGCTGGTGGGTTTTCTCATAAGAGGCATCCACTTATTTTGTGTTTTGAGGTAGCATTAGAAGACTTAACAAAACCACTAAGATTAATAATTTCTTTGCCCAAATTTTCCAGCAGTACTTTCAGTTCTTTAAAGACACTGTTCATTGTTTGCTCACAAGGAACTAAGACAATCCAATACCTGAAAGGGGCCTGTAAGAAGGTTGGGGAAGACCTGTTCCCAAGGGCATGTAATGATAGGACAACTGATGGTTTTAAGCTAGAAAGGGATAGATTTAGGTTGAACACTAGGAGAAAGTTCTTTAATGAGGGTGGTGGGTCACTGGAATGGGTTGCCTAGAGAGGTGGTGGGGGCCCCATCCCTGGAGACATTCAAGGTTAGACTTGATGGGGCTCTGAGCAATCTGGTCTAGTTGGAGATGTCCCTGCTTACCATGAGAGGGTTGGACTAGATGACCTTTAGGGGTCCCTTCCAATCCAATACATTCTGCAAATCAGCTGCTTAAATTTTGCCAAAGCTTTGTCATTGTTAAGCTCATTGCTAGAAGAAACACCTTGTGTTGGGTTCATGAAGAATATGGAGTAAGCATGTTATTTTCAAAGATTGCTGTTAATGTTGCTGGGCTGAGTGGATATCCAGCAACATGCCTGTTTCTGTCTTCTGAATTCAGTATGTTATTCAGATGTTCCATTGATTTTTTTTTTTATATATATATATATATATTTATTTATTTTTCCCCCAGTTTTTGATGGGATTTTTTCATTAAGCTAATTAGCTTATATATTATGTCAGTTCTACAAAACAAATTTGAGAGGTACTAAACTTCATGCTTAAAATAACAATTTAAATGCATTTTAAAATTTTAAAGTTTTGTGCAGAATTTAATTTACAGACTTGCTCTGTAACTATGTGACAGTTACCAGCAGGACATACAGGAATGAAGATTTTTTGTTAAAACTTCCTATCCTCAAATATAAGTCAGGGCCTAAAACCAGAAAAAATAGTTCTCTCCATGTGAGCTTTCAGGACAGTGTATTAAACAATCTGAATAGATTATTTTTTAATGTCTTTTTCTTGTGTCAGGAATTGCATTCTCTGTGGAATCAACTCTGAAGAGTTCTCTTTACTGGCCTCAGTGAACAGGTTGCAGGAATAGTTAAACATTCCACAAGGATTGCAGTTTTAACTTGGTACCATATGGTTCAATATTCTATCCTGAAGTCAGTTGCAGATGGTTAGGAAGTTAAAGTATTGCAAATGAAATGAGTGATTGTTGTGAAATATGCAGCCAGTCTGTGGTGGATTGTTTAACATCAATGGAAAAAGTAGCAAATCAGAACAACAAATAGGACAGTTCAGGCTTTTTCATCGACATACCAGCTGTTAGAACACAAATATCTATTTTTACAGTCTTATTTAATAAATATAGTGCTTTTGATTGCAAAAGTATCTCTCACATGAAGATTACTTGTTGAAGCAGAAGATTGTTAGATTAGGCAGGAGATAATGGTTCACTTATTTGGATTTCTGACATATCACTGTGGGGAAATGTTGAGCCCTGGACAGCTTAAAAAATGTTTTCCCAACAGAAATGCAAGAAAGAAAAGAAAGCCATTGGTGAGATGTTTGTCCCTTAACTTCTACAGCCTTGCTGACTATGTCAGGTCTAGCTCAAATATTTATGTTGTTAAAGTCAAGGCTGGATCCCAAATCTGTCCCAGCTGGTGATAGTACCTCCTGGAGACAGCACACAACTGAGTCCATACTTGAAAATCAGCAAAGTAGATGGAGTAGCAGTGAAAGGATCTCCAAGCTGGTGTAAACTTGGACTCTTCTGGGAAAAGACCACTAAACTAGCAGCAAGCTTTCCCTGGCCCTTCCTGACAGCTTTCTATGGTAGGTAAACACAAAAGCAATGTTAAACCAAGAATTGTTTTCAGCCACCAGAGGGGAGTCAGCAGCTAGGAGAAGTACGTGAGAGGGCTAATTAAAGTAAGGAGAGCCTATTGAAATTTTTTGTCCTGGGACTGTTTTGTGGAGTTATGTTCTAACATCTCTGTCCTGTGTCTCTTTCCTCTCTCAGGTGTATGTAGCTGAACCTAGTGGGATGGAGTTCACACCATGTCACGTTGAAGCACGTGTTGGCCAAATATTGGAGCTTCCCCTGAGGATTCATGGCCTCACAAATGTTGAGACGGGCGAGATGGCCCCACTGAGCGACTGCTCACACTTTGATCTTGTTGTGGAAGTAGAAAACCATAGTGTGTTTGTACCACTTCAAGGTGATTTGACCCCCCTCTTGTTTTGAAAGTGAAATTAAGGTGTTACTAAGTCAGACATCTCTTTTAAATCAGTGTTTCAATTGCTGTATAAAGTATTCCTCAGAGGTGCTTAACCTCAGAAGTGGCAGAGTAGTTTCATTTTGAGGATGTATCTACTTTTAATTAAGATTTTCCCTTTGATATTTTGTTGTTTTGAGGGACTTTGAAAGCATTTTGGCAATTACTTTATTGAATATAATGTGCAGTTTCCTGTATGACTTTCTACTGATTTAGTATTTTTAACATGCTTCTGTAACAAAGCTGGTGGGTTTTCTCATAAGAGGCATCCACTTATTTTGTGTTTTGAGGTAGCATTAGAAGACTTAACAAAACCACTAAGATTAATAATTTCTTTGCCCAAATTTTCCAGCAGTACTTTCAGTTCTTTAAAGACACTGTTCATTGTTTGCTCACAAGGAACTAAGACAATCCAATACCTGAAAGGGGCCTGTAAGAAGGTTGGGGAAGACCTGTTCCCAAGGGCATGTAATGATAGGACAACTGATGGTTTTAAGCTAGAAAGGGATAGATTTAGGTTGAACACTAGGAGAAAGTTCTTTAATGAGGGTGGTGGGTCACTGGAATGGGTTGCCTAGAGAGGTGGTGGGGGCCCCATCCCAGGAGACATTCAAGGTTAGACTTGATGGGGCTCTGAGCAATCTGGTCTAGTTGGAGATGTCCCTGCTTACCATGAGAGGGTTGGACTAGATGACCTTTAGGGGTCCCTTCCAATCCAATACATTCTGCAAATCGGCTGCTTAAATTTTGCCAAAGCTTTGTCATTGTTAAGCTCATTGCTAGAAGAAACACCTTGTGTTGGGTTCATGAAGAATATGGAGTAAGCATGTTATTTTCAAAGATTGCTGTTAATGTTGCTGGGCTGAGTGGATATCCAGCAACATGCCTGTTTCTGTCTTCTGAATTCAGTATGTTATTCAGATGTTCCATTGATTTTTTTTTTTATATATATATATATTTATTTTTCCCCCAAGGATCTCTTGTATGGAAGCTCTTTCCTGTACTGTTGAGCCAGTAAAACCAGCCTGCACTGTACTATCTGTTTGCCTGAGAGGCAGCTATTTTAAATGTCACTGCCTAGTGTGCTGTTGCACTGTTTGTTTCAATAAAAGAGAAAATAGACCCAAACCCCAAAATGTCCTTGAAGTGAGCAGAGTAATTTCAGGAAAATACTTCACCTTCAGCTAGAGAAATGATGTATTGCCTACAGTTCAAGCTGGTCTGTGCCCAGAGGCTTGTCTAAGCAGTGTAACTTGTGCTTAATTACAAGCCAGTTTCACTTTAGCTGGAAATATTCAATAAGAGACAGAAGTTATATTTGTACCAGAGTAAAGACTCATGTGAGATGTGGCTCCTTTGTTAAGTGTTGGATTTGAGCTGAAAGTCAGTAGTGAGATTTTTTACCCATTTGGTTGGAAAACACACCTCTACGTATTTCTGGTGGAAACACTTCTGTTAAGAAGACATGTTGAAGTTGCTTTCAAATGCCTGATGTTTCTCTCCAAACAGGTATTTACATCTTTTTAATTTATCTGACAGGAATGCTTAAGCCAACTGCTGAGTTTTGTAGTGGGGTCAGAGTGAAAGCAGAAACTCAAGGACACACAACACTTTTTGTTAGTTACACCCATGGTCATGTCCACCTCAGTGCTAGCATCACCATTGCTGCTTATCCACCATTAAAAGTAAGTCTGTTTTCACTGTTCCTAAAGCAATCCATCTCTTAAAACACCTTTAAGTGACAAATAGCAAGTTGATATTATGCAGTGAATATGCTTAAATGAGGTGGGTGGTTGATTCACAGGAAAAAGCTGCTGAGCTGTTTTGGGGAATTGTGCTTTAACCCTTTCTCTGTGTAGCATGGATGTAGGAGAGCTGCCTGCCTGGACATTGCAAGGCAGCTGCAGAGGGGTGAGTGGTGCCACAGCAAACTAGCAGATTGTTGCAACTTCTGAAGTGGAAAGTGAGGTGGATATCCTGGCCTGTGTTTCAGACTTTAGGCAAAAGAGTCCCTGTCACCTGAAGAAATATGTGGGACAGCAATAGGAGTTAATCCTCATGTGAGTAAGGATGTGTATCTTGTTTTGCACAGGGCACCTAAATGAGTAAATTAGTTTTCAGCAGACTCTAGGTGGGTTGAAAATTATGTGAGAAATATGTGAAAAATTAAAATATGAAATGGCTTTAATTTACTGTCCATTTTATTTGATTAAAAATTAATGTAATAAGGTAGTAAGGGGGCAGTCAAGTCTGTGTCTACAATGTCAAATGAAAGCTTATGATTTGTGCTTTCATAGTATATAAACTGTTGTTTGCAAGCAGGCAACAGTGGCTGGGGAGAAAAATATTTCAGCTGTTGGACAGGTCACTAAAGAAAACAGGAGGAAGGAACCAGAGTAGAGGGTCAATGTGTGGAAACATGAAACAGTGTGCTTGTTATCTTCAGAGATTGAGCACTGAACCTGCAAAGCTGAAGTCTCATGTGTTTGGACACAGCTTTTTTTCCCCCAAATCTGGAACTAAGTTTGTGCAAATCATAAAAATTTATGACTGTAATGATGATTTTATTTTTTAAGTGTGCTTTTCTGTCAAAGATGCACTTAAATAGTTGAGTAATTCTTTGAAGATGCCAAGACATCCTGAGCAGTGTGTTTTAGCTTTTCTGGAGAATAATTAAATGCAGAGAAATGTGCTGGAGAGGGCACTGTCAAGTGAAAGTATTTTTAAAGAGTAAAAGTCCATTAAATTAAATTACTGTCTATTTAAAAAATGTGGTAGAATGCCTTTTTTTTTTTCTGAATGTGTTCAGAAGAGTATGTTCAGGGTCTTTCTCTTGCTGTAACTCTTCATGAAAGAGATGTAATTAGAGTGTAGTTAAAACATCTGTTTGAATCCCTGGGTTCCAGTGAGCATCAAAATAATACAGGTAGCTCTTCCATTGTGGAGGAAGGTTTTTTTTTTACAAAGTACAACCAACTATGTGTAAAGAAAATAATTCATTTGTAACTCATTCATTACAGACTGTTGATCCTCCATCTGCTGCTCTAGTGACTTTGGGTTCCTCCAGAGATCTGTTGTTTGAAGGAGGACCTAGGCCATGGGTACTAGAACCTTCCAAGTTCTTCAGGAACATCACTGCTGAGGATGCAGAAAGCATTGGTCTGATTTTATTTGGACCTCCTACATTACAAGATCACACCCAGCACTGGGTCAGAGTATCTTGCAAAAGCCTGGGAGAACAAGTAAGTGTCAGAAGGTATTTGTATTGTCCTCCATCAAACACTGAGCTAAGGCAACTGCAAAAAGGCTTCAGACAGATTTATGATACCATGTACCTTTTCTATAACAAGTAGTTTTTATAATAACCCAGTAAAGAACTTGGCTAAGTGCATAGTTTATGCAGTGTGATGCTGGTACAGGCTTCAGAGTGAGCTTTTAATAACATTGTTGTGAAGTGGTTTAGGATGGGTTGATTGCAGTGCAAAGCCAAGTCACAGAACCTTATAGGATGTGTTAAACAGATCCTAGTAACTGCAGCTTCACTTTGCATAAATGGGATCATAGCAGGTTACTGCAGTAAACTGACTTTTCTGTTTGACCTGCTTCTCTTGACCAAGCTACTTACCTTCCATTGTGATTCTGTTTATCCAAAGAAATGTCAACCATATGAATTTACTGCTCTGATATTTGTGCAATCTTTGAGATAGTAGCTGGAGTCATTTTCCCCCTGCTCTCGTTTTCTCCAACATGCAAAAGTGATTTATCCTGCTTTACTCACCCTGGCCAGTTTATAAAGCATCTAGCTTTGATTTAATGTTTTTCTCCTGTAATTCTGCAAGGCCAAAGCATTTGATGTG